TTAAAATCTGAGTGCATTAAGATGTCTCAAAGCAAGAGTTCAACTAGATATGATGCCCAGTAAATACTTGCACTTGGAAAAAATGTTTTGATCATGGAAAAGCATATAATAGGTATGGCTATTCCATCAATGCCTGATAAGTACAAGGTGTCTGCAATCAAGTAGAAAGAAACAGAGATAAAAAAGCAAAGAACTGGGGGGTGGGGTCTTGGTGTATGCCACACCTTTTGGGGGCAAGACATGATTTTGCAAGAGGGACTTTACCTAACAAATGCAATCAGTGCAACCTGGTTTCTTGTGCCCTCAATGAATCCCCAACAATTAAAAAAAAAAGCAAAGAATTATAGCAAATCAAAGTAATACATCAATAAGAAAAGAACTGACAGTGTGATTACTGGTACATGAAAGTAGCAGAAATCAGAGAGGCAAAATAAATTAATCTCACAACCAAAGAAATCAGAAGCCAGAACATTTGAATTTCAAACCATTCAAATGAGTTGAAAGGATCCTTGGGACTCCTATCTTCAATAAGTAGCAGGGTGAGAAAGCTGCTCAGTTGTCAAGGATGAATTATTCTATGAAGCCTACTTCAAATACTGCCGAAGAAGGGCGGGCCTTGGAGTAACCAACAGCCCCAGGAAACAATGAATCAGACAGTTCCTCCAGGAAATAATCCCAATGCATACCTTGAGGGTCCTTGCAATATCTACCCATGAAAGGCCAGTAATTGGATTTTTTCCCCATTTTCCTTGAGTAGAAATTTTTATTGCAATTTTTCAGTCCCTGATCCAAGAGGGGTGGTGGTGGTTAAAAATAAAACAAAAACAAAAAACTTTGTATTTTTGGTTTTAGGCTTTAAGATCAATATAAGCCATATCTGGACCCCATATAAAAAGTGGTACATGTTACCCAGAAGTCCTGGCTTTGGAGTTTGTTTATAATGAATGGGACTTTTAGTTTGTCTCCTTTGAGGCAGAAATATTTGCCTGTGGGAAGGAGAACAAGTTGAATGTTGTAGTCCTTGGTACTGTTAAAATGTTTTTAATTTTTTGCCTTCCAGGCACAGAGAAGCAAGACTCTTCAGTGGGACCTGTACTGGCCAATGAAATGGAAAAGAAAGTGACATGTGGGGTGGCACCTGTGGCTCAGTGAGGAGGGCACCGGCCCCATATACAAAGGTGGCAGGTTCAAACCTGGCCCTGGCCAAACTGCAACAAAAAATAGTAGGCGTTGTGGCAGGCACCTGTAGTCCCAGCTACTCTAGAGGCTGAGGCAAGAGAATCGCCTAAGCCCAAGAGCTGGAGGTTGCTGTGAGCTGTGATGCTACAGCACTCTACCAAGGGCAACAAAGTGAGACTCTGTCTCAAAAAAAAAAAAAAGTGACATGTGTCATCTCTGGTGGAAGCTATAAAAGCCAATACACCCTGTACTACCTTTTATTTATTTCCTGCCTTGGCAATCATGGGTGGAGCTTCCATCAGCATGAATGAGCCCTTCTCCTGAGTAAGCCCCCTGTAGGTCTCCCTGAATATGTAGCATAACGAAGAATCAAATTTTTGTTATATGGAATATGATTTATGGTCCATTCTGATTGATACAAAAAATAAAGCCCTCTAAAAGATCATTAATGCCAATGTTAGAATTTCCTCTTACATCAATAAGTATTAAGAATACCTTTAAATTCCAGAAAAGGAGTATGTTTTGGGGAGAGTTTATTTCTGTGTCTTAATTTTTTCATCTACAAAATGAGAATGATACCAACTGTTTTATATGGTTGTACTGATTTAAATACATTTATATGTATAGTGCTTAGAACAGTGTCCTAGTACACAGTAGAAGCTGTGTTTGCTATTATTAAATACCTACCAAGTTTGCTGTAGATACAGTTGTGCTATAAACACCTGAAGTATCATAGTCTGGCCCTAGAAAATATAACCAAAGTAAAATTTAAAATGGGCATATTTTATAGTTAAAAATTCCATAAATGATAATGAATGTCAAATTATATATAGATCTCACTGACCTGAAGGATAAAGATATTCTTCCTCATATCCCCCTAGAAAAAAAGACAGAAGTCTATTTATACAGCTCTTTTTAGCATACCAAAGTCAAATAGCCAGCACTTGCTTTTTCCCAAGTTTTATGGATATACGTTCAAAACTAAAACACACATACCCTAGAAAGTAATTTGAGCTTCCATACTAGTCAACAGATATTGAAACCAGAGATTAGCTGTTAATAGCACAATTTTCTCCTGTGAAAACTCCTTTAGATCTTAGAATTCAAGAAGAGGTGAAAATCCAGCTGTGTCCAATTTTTCCAGTAAGACAGCACAGTGTGGTGATTAAGCACATTGGCTCTGGAGAGGACTGCCTAGATCTGAATCCTGATTAACCACATGACTTTGGGCAAGTTATTTAATCTTTGTGCCCAAATTTCCTCATTGTCAAACTAGGTAAGATTATCTAGCTCATTAAGGGTTCTGAGAAGAGTTAACACAAATGAAAAGAATTTAGCATGGTGCTTAAGACATACATTTATTTCTGTGTCTTAATTTCTTCATCTACAAAATGATAATGATACCAATTGTTTTATATGGTTGTTATGATTTAAATACATTTATATGTATAGCTCTAAGAATAGTGTCCTTGTACACAGTAGGAGCTATAAGTGTTTGTGCTTATAGCTTTATTACATAAAGTAATCTGAGTATAACCCCTTGTTTCCATAGGTAGACATTAAAAGAATATATCATGCCTCATCTGTTTTTCAGCCTATGTCACATAAGCACTACATGTAAAACCAGTTTATCCTCAAATAATGGTTCATTAGACTGAAGTAATTTGAAGATTTCTGTGCAAATGAAATGTAAAGAAAGTCAATCTTCAATTGGAAAGTTTTACAACAAATAAAACCCCACAGGTCTAAACTGGATTTGAGTCTTAAACATACCACTTATCAACCACACATGTACGCAACTCCTCCAGACAGCAGGATTTTAGGTGAGAAAAAAAGATTTGGTTACTTCAGATATGCCACAACAGGTGAGTAGTCCATCTGAAACTACTCACAGGGATGAAAGGGTCATCTGCATAAGAGCAGAGAATGACTATCCTTAAGCATATGCATGTACAAAGTTTTCATAGATCATTCTAGTGCTAGATTTTTACTCTCATTAAATCCTAGAAATATGTATTTTTTCCACATAAATAGGAAAAAGGATATCATAATAAAGAATTTATTAGTAAGTTATTCAGAATGCCTCACACTTGTTTCAGCCACCCAACCCTCCTGAATTGTTTCAGTAGGCATATAAAATATCATTTAGCATTATACCAAGTATTCATTTAATAAAAATATTTCTACCCCCTTAGTATTTTGAAAAAAATATTAATTTTTTTGAGACAGAGTCTCAAGCTGTCACCCTGGGTAGAGTGCCATGGCAACATCATAGCTCACAGCAACCTCCAACTGTTGGGCTCAAGCGGTCCTCATGCCTCAGTTTTTTGTATTTGTAGTAGAGATAGAGTCTCGCTCTGGGCTCAGGCTAGTCTCGAACCCATAAGCTCAAGCAATCCACCCACCTTGGCCTTCCAGATTGCTAGGATTACAGGTGTGAACCACTGTGCCCAGCCTAATCTTTTTTTTTTTTTTTTTGAGACAGAGTCTCAATCTGTCCCCCTGGGTAGAGTGCTGTGGCATCATAGCTCACAACCACCTCCAACTCCTGGGCTCAAGCGATTCTCCTGCCTCTGCCTCCCAAGGAGCTGGGAATACAGGCACCTGCCACAATGCCCAGCTATTTTTTTTGGTTGCAGCTGTCATTGTTGTTTGGCAGGCCCAGGCTGTATTTGAACCTGCCACCTTAGGTGTATGTGGCTGGTGTCTTAGCCACTTGAGCCACAGGCACCGAGCCCCTAATCTTATTTTTTAAAAACCCTATAAAATAGTAGTAAAAATAAACATACTCCATGGTGGGAGGCAATATAATGACTGTTAAATGTATCTGTATATATGGGCTTTAGAGTCAGATAAAACCAAGTTCAAAATCCAGCTCTGCAAATCACAAAGAACCACATATTATATGACTCCATTTATGTTAAATGTCCAAATTTGCCAGAATAGGCAAATACATGGGAGACAGAAGACAGATTGGTAGCTGCCAAGGACTGGATAGGGAAGTTGAGGGATATGGGAAGTAACTACTAATAGGCATGAGGTTTATGCCTGAGGTGATAAAAAATGTTCTAAAATTAATTGTGGTGGTGGTTATATAACCCCAAATGTAAAAAAACAAACAAAAAAAATTTTAAATGGTGAATTCTATGGTATGTAAATTATTATCTCAAAGCTGTTATAAAACAATTATATTTTTGCTATATACCAAAAATATGACCTTAGCCACATC